GGGGAGGCTGCACAGGGGCAACTAGGCATATGAAGGATGAATGTGGGTCACCAGGTGGACGTGGGGGGAGAGGTGATGACACTCCTGAGGCACGGGTGGGGACAGTGATGGGATGGTGACGAGGGAGCAGGTAGCTGGTGCCATGGCTGAAGAGCGATGCCCAGCCCCTTCCCCCTGGCTGGGGAGCCCCCTCTCTCCACCCAGCCCGGCCCCTTCCCTTTCCACTCAGCCCCCCAAAGCCTGCCCCAGCCGCACCGCCCAGCTCCGCCGTCCTGAAGGCCAAGCCCATTTGAGTATAACAGACTCCATTTGTGTTCCTCGCGCAGGCTGGTGTTCGCACTGCTCTGTTGAGGTCTCCGTGGTCTGGAGCCGCTGGAGAGCAAAAGTCCGCCCCCCAACCCCGGGCCACTGGCTGTCCCGCGTCAAGAGCATGCCCCACTCACCCGCAACAGCTCCTCTTCTCCCTGTTCCTTCACAAACACCTCCTCCAGCTCTTGGTTGAGCCCTTCCAGGCTCCGGTGCAGGCAGGGGCTGAGTCGCAGGACAGGTGACCCTGAGGGGAAGCTGGGAGGGGACGCCTGAGGAGGAGGCAGATGAAGGAATCACGGACCCCCGTCTCCCCCCACCCCCCACTCCCAAGCCCTGTACAGTTACTAGTTCTGATGGGGGTGTGGGGGTGGGGCAGGGGGTGAGGTCATGTCTACACAGCAGGACCAAGGGAATAAAGGAGGATCTGGGGACAGTCGCCAATTGCTACAGGAAAACTTGGTGGCCTTTTCCCCAGAAGTTTAGCGCTTCGAGAGGTCTAGAGTGAGCTTTTAGATAAGTCTGCAGGCTCACCACTGCCTCCATCGGAGACGGGCGCAGGGGTTGAGGGGAGAACCATTCCCAAGGGCAAGAAGCCCATCCGGCCTCACTCAGAGTTCAAGTTTTGGCTAAAACCACCTGGACAGCCACACGACCACGGCACATGCAGGGTGGCAGTCTCTTGTCAACAGCTGTAAGACCCGAGAGGACGGCCACTGGGGGATGACAAGGGGCACGGGGCCCTGGGGAGGGGGTGGAAACATACCCTCAGTGCTCCCCGCACGGCGTGGTCCCCTTGGAGTGGGGAGCCCCGCTCCTTCTCCTTCCCACTGCGGCTCAGCTTTGTCCTCTGCAGTTGCTGCTTCAACTTGGTAATCTGGCAGCCCAGAGAGAGGGTAGGGGTGGGGCCAAGGCAGGTGAAGCAACGCTAAAGGGCACCGGGTCCCCCCTCCCACCGTGGCTCCTGCCCGAGCCCGTGAAAATACATAAAAGGAGGCTGGAAAACCTCTCGTGGTGTTGTTCACAACTGTGATAATACATTCGTTGGGCAAATTGGAGACCTTATTCACTAGATATTTGTTTGTTTGTTTGTTTGTTTGTTTAAATTACCACGTACTGCATGGATCAGTTGGAAAGATGAATCAGATAGGTCGGTTTCCAAAAAATTAAAAATACGCAATGCCGAAAGCATTTTTGTCTCTCCCAGATTCCAAAGGCGTGGAAATACTACTCTATTAATAGAAATGGGAAATGAGGTTTTTGAATTCAGTCTTCCAAGTACATTCGCAGCCATCTCACAGGCCCCAGGACCAGGAAGGGTGGAAGGATTTCCCCCCAGGTTGAAAGCAGACGGCACTGAGCAAGGAGCAGGCTCTCAAGAAGAAATATCAGATTTTGTCCTGGCTTCCAGATCTTGTACCAAAAACGCGTTATCATCAACGGTTTTGACTATTATCCCCGTCACGTCTCTAACCCTCCACCTCCTTGCCCTCAGCTGGTGAATGCTCTGGAAATGCAGATCTAGTTAAATACGGGCTCAAAGTAAAGAGCATTCAGAGAGTAGACCTGCCGCCCAGAGCCATACAAATTGTGACCCCTGCCAAGAAGAAAGTGGTTTTAGAGTTGCTATCAGACTCGGTTCATGCCGTGACTCCACGTTTAGGGCAAATAACTTGCTGACTCTGACAATTACAAACTCTACATACTTTGTATTTCCCACTAGTCTTTTTTTAATGTTTATTTTTTATTTATTTTTGAGAGAGAGAGAGAGGTAGAACATAAGCAGGAGAGGGGCAGAGAGAGAGAGGGAGAGAGAGAGAATCCCAAGCAGGCTCTGTGCCATCAGGGCAGAGCATGATGCAGGACTTGAATCCACGAACCGTAAGATCATGACCTGAGCCGAAATCAAGAGTCAGACATTTAAGTCGACTGAGCCACCCAGGCGTCTCTTTTCTCTTCTTTTAAAAACAAGGCTTGGGGCGCCTGGCTCAGTCGGTTAAGCCTCTGACCTCACTCAGCTCAGGTCATGATCTCACAGTTCGTGGGTTTGAGCCCCGCATCAGGCTCTGTGCTGACATCTCAGAGCCTGGAGCCTGCTTCAGATTCTGGGTCTCCCTCTCTCTCTGCCCCTCCCCCACTTGTGCTCTGTTTCTCTCTCTCTCAAAAATAAACAAACATTAAAAAGAAAAAAAAAAAAAAAAAA